CTGAAGAAAAGATGATTTCCTTCTTGGGCCAATTGATCTGTGGATTGTGGGCTTGCAACCAGGGTATTCCTAGCATGGCTAGATGATACTATCACGTACCTGGTGATGGAGGCCAATGGAGAGAGTTCCGGACTCCCTTGAGAGTGGGACAGCGGGAGTCAGGCCCAAAGTTGCACAGGTCGCCTGTAGGAGTGCTGGTTGGTGGTCCTCTCAGAAGCACAGCTGGTGCACGGAGATAAGTCTGCAGACAGGAGGCGCCTGTGCGTGGTATGCAAGCCCTTCTGGGATTTAGATGTTTACTTGGTAGTCGGTTCAAGCCAAGGTCAGGTACCAGGTGGGAATCAGAGCAGACTTAGTCAGATGGGCTAGCCGAGGTCATACACAGAGGAGCGAGAGAGAGAGTATCCGTAAGCCCAGCCAAGGTCAGATCAAGTGTAAGGCAGAGTAGACAGGTCCAGGAGCAAGTCGAGTCGGTAACAGGAAATCACGGGTCAAAGTCACAAAAAACAGGAAATAGGAACAGGGCACGGGGAGCTAGAGATCATCCACAACTTGAGTAAGTGATGAGCCTCCTTATAAAGGCCGTCTGGCACCAGACTGAGGCTGATGTGTCCTTCTGTTGCTATGCAGAGTACTGGCAGAAATGCCAGATCTTCCAGAACCTGGAGCCCTCCAGGTTGCTGGTATGTACAAGGGCAAATGCTATCCAAACCCAGGGGAACGGGCCAGGGACCATCGGAAGTTACAGATGCCATTCCTGTGAGAGTGACCCCAGGAGCAAGGGGTGACTGAGTTGGACAGGCTGGTCCAGCAGGAGATAGAGCTGGACAACCGATATCGGGCTCTGCAATGGTAGGCAGAGCAGAAATATTAAGAGTGACAAGAAAATGCTCTCCGGAGGGATATGACTTTGGTGGCCCTGGATTGCGGTGGGAGAGCCTTACAGATCATTTTGTGTTTGGCGATGAAGGAGAACCTACCCTTGAGGACCTGCGAGAAAACAGAGAGGCTATGTTTGGTCTCACAAGGGTCTCAGAGCTTGAACCAGATCTGGAATACCTGCTGATGAAAGAAAGAATCTGGAAAGGGCATACAGATAACTGCTAAAACATGTTCAGCAGCATGCCCAAGAATCGGAGGTGGAAATTCCAGAGATTGCTGTCCCCAAACCTGAAGTGCTGACAAAAGGGCAGAGCTCTGCTAGCCTCTGCCCAGCACTGGTAACATCTTCTGGGTTCCACGGACAGGAGATAGTGAACCCCTATCCCCAGACACCAGTTCGAGACTGGGGATTTGATAGACTTCTCTGCTGAGGAAAAACAACCTAGTGAGTCTCCAGCAAAAGAACTGGCAACAGGGCCAAACATTGCTGAACTCTGCCCAGCACTGGTAACATCTTCTGGGTTCCACGGACAGGAGATGATGAACCCCTATCCCTAGACACCAGTTCCAGAGACTGGGGATTTGATTACATTTTCTGCTGAGGATCTCACCTGTGTGAGATGGGGAAACAGCTCTCTTTGTTTGAACACTGTTTGTGTTGTGGAAGTAAATTAATGTTTTCACTGACATTCTGCGGTTTAGCCACAAGATGTCACTGTTTTTCTAACACAGCCTCAGACTGCATAGATATTTGTATATTCATGAAGAGGTGGGGTTTTGCACACAGAGTTGGAGAGAACAGGAAGGAGAGAGAGAAGCCATGTTTTGGAGCATGGTGAATAATGGGCCGTGTGAGCTGAGAATCTGATGACATCCAGGTGTGAAAGCGTCCCTCAGTAACCAGAGCTGCAGCTGAGTGAAGCTGATGAGATTGCTGCCAGGAAGCTGATGAGCTTGCTGCCAGGAATGCTGATGAGATTGCTGCCAGGAAGGCTGATGAGAGCAGAGGAACTAAGCAACATATATACGGCGAGACCGCATGCTTGTTGGAGAGACATTTGTTCTGTTCAGAGTCACCAGCGGATGCAAAGCAGACCCGGGTTGGTAAGATCGTGCACGCACCTCATTTCAGTGTTGGCGCCTTGAGATTGAGTCCAGGCCTATAGTTAGTTAGTTAGGGTCTCTGTGTCAGGCCAAAAGTGTTGTTACTGATTATTGGAAGGACTCCACAACTTAAAGTGACATTTCACATTGGAGAGCTGATAAAATCCTACAAACTCAAGCCAGACTGGCATTTTGCTCAGAAGGAATACTCAGGCATGTGCTACAGGACCAGTTATGGGAGGGGGAATACTGTAGATTTGTGTAAGAGTGTAAGCTGTCGTGCTGCACCGCAGGCTAGCCCATACCGTACACCCATACACTGATTCCTGCTCTTTTAGGGTAATAACAGGTAAGGTGTGGCAGCTTATTTGTGCCCGCCAGTAGGTAAATTACTTCACTTTCTATCTTCATCCATTAGAAGGTGCCGTGCTGTGCAGCACAAGGGTCTCAGCCTTTGGGCTGGGTATATGTAAATTTATTGTATGTTTCCAGCATTTGTGGTTATGTTTATTTGCCACATCTAAGTAAAATTCTGTTGTGGCAAAAGCTGGTGTTGGGGTTGCTTTCCTCGTTCGTGACTTCACTGTATCCTGGGGAGCCCACCCCAGTACACGGCTTACACCTGGATACCCCAGGGATGCTGGGCAGATGGCCCAGATCCCCAACAGCATGATGGAGTTGGCCCAGCCACCCTGTCTTCTCTCCAGTGGCTGAGAGGACTTCAGGAAGAAGGACCAGTCCGTACTTCTCCCCAGCGGCGGGTATGTTCTATGAGAGAGGCAGAGGTTGGCTGGGTAAGTAATGCTATGTTTGGAACAATTTGTTTGGGGAACTGTGTGGGCACTGGCATTGGGGGACTAGAAGTACAGACTAACTTCGGAGTCCACCCGTCTGGGGTCTCCTCCTGTGTTAGTCTCTTGCCGAAAGGGGAGATGTGACCGGAGTCACTTTGGGTGGGGGGCCAATGGAACCAAGCTCACTTTGGAGAGGTGGGGAGACCCCTGTCTCAGCTCCCCATATCCCTCTTATGTGTAAGACCCTGTGCCTGTTAGGGGTACAGGGTGATCTGTCCTAATATTGTGTAGACATGTATAGGTGGGGTGGGGGTTGTGGATTGTTTGGTGTTGTGGGGCTGCATCTCATTGTTCTATTGTTTGTCTTGCTTGGGAGCAAACTATTATGGGATGTATGTGTTTATGTGTATTAGCATAGTGGGGGGAGGGGGATCTCCAGCAGCCCTCCCTCCTGATGGGACTGTCTGCTGGTGTGAAGTTTGAATACCTGTGTGTCTTTTGTTATTAAATGTAGATTGCCCCACCCTGTGTCATTATGCAGGGAGGGGGATTGTCCCCTGAGTGTATATATCTTGTATCTGTGTTCAAATAAAGTAGTCTACTTCCTGGTTTACTTCAAATCTGGTGTTGTCTGGATCTTGGGGTAGCAATAGCCAGATTCATTGGTCTTGTGTTCCAGAGCCTGAGAAGCAGCTTCTTGACGGAGATATTCATTCGTGGGTGGCTGGGGTCCATTACTTGTGTAACATGCTTAGAATCCTAGAATTATTGTATGTGATAATTTGCATGTAGGGAACTAACTTTGTTTTGTTTTATATGTCATAAGTTTTATTATTGTGACCATTTTAACCCCTTCCTGCTGACAGTGTGCATATATGCTGGACTGGGTTTTTTTGTCCGTGGGGCCGCATATATGCGTATTTGGGATGGCATGCTCCCAGCACAGAAACTGGGGTCTCACCAGGAGCCCCAGGTCCCCTACTAACGATTTCCGTGTCACCTGATTGCTGTTATTGCCTTCGATTGGCTATCACAGTGATCAGTCAGTGTGAAGCCTGCCCCTGTGTTTTCTCTCTGAATGGAGGAGAGAGATACATTGTATCTCTCTCTCTCTCCTTGCAGAGAGAAAAAACCCATAACTGTGTGTAAAAAATAAATAAATAATAATAATGGAAAAAAAAAACCCAACCTAGATCAAGGTTTGATCTAGGTCAGTGTCATGATTAGTTTTTTGGTCAAGTAATGGCCAAGGGTCACGATCAGCATATTCTGGGCAGGATTTAAAAACATTTTTTTTTAAAACTTGTGTGTTTTAGGTAGGATATCAAAAAGAAGCAAAATACACACTATTGTTTCCTGGGGTGTACTATGAGTACATACAAGTAACATACACATGTGTGGTATCACTGCAATCGTTATGAGCAGGAGAACTTATTTTGGGTTGTTCTTTGGTGGTAAGTTATGGTAGTAGCAAGAAATATGCAGCTAATTTTTTTTGTAAAAATAGTTTTTACTATTTTGGGACAAAATAACGAGATATCCATTACCATTTACCACCAAATGAAAATCTAATTTGTCCTGAAAAAAAACGTGGTATAATCCACCTGGATACACAAAATAGTTGTAACGATATGTACGGTTTTATGAACACATGTCAAAGTTGCAAAATTGTGCTTAGGCATTAACATTTGATTTACCCTTAGACGGGAAGGGGTTAAGCAAATGTACATTCACTATATTCAGATTGTTTTATAATAAATATAACATCTCATTAAGAATGTATGGTATTGATACTTTGTAAGATAAGTTATATTATATATATATATATATAAAATCTGGATCAGGGGTGGACTGACCATTTGGAAACTCGGGCATAGCCCGAGGGCCCGGGGTCAGTAAGGGGCCCTATGAGATGCCCCTGGTACCTTTTTCATAGGCTTTTTTGAGTTTGGGCAAGGACACAAGGGCCCCATGATCCCCTATTGCCCGGGGGCTCCATGAGTTGTCAGTCCGCCCTAGATCTGGATATATATATATATATATCCTGATATATGGTATGCTATGGTAAAGAACTCGTATCTATTTGTTGGGGCAGGGGTCTCCAAACTTTCTAAACAAAGGACCGTTTTTTAACCTTTAGACTTTAGAAGGGCCAGACTGTGGCTAGTGGGAGTGGAAATTTTCCTGGCATCAGTGGGAGTAAGCATCACCACATTCAGTATTAGGGGGAGTATTAGTGTCCCATCATTGGTATTCTTGGGAGGAACACTTCCCCATTATTGGTGTCAGTGGGAGAAATGGTGCCCTATTGTTGGTGTTACTTGGCAGAATGGTGTGTCTTATCAAATGAAGGAACAGTGCCCCAAAGTCCATGTGAAGGCAAGCAAAGGACCATATCCGGCCCGGGGCCGCAGTTTGGAGACCACTTTGTTAGGGGATACTTATAAAAGGAAGCAAATAAATATTTTGGTACCGTATTTGCCGGCGTATAAGACGACTTTTCAACCCCTGAAAATCTTCTGAAAAGTCGGGGGTCGTCTTATACGCCGGTATACGGCGAGCCGGTGTGTCAGGGCTGCACTTTTTCCAGGGGCGGTGTCCTCCAACGGACACTAAGTACAGGGGTGGGCAGAGGGGCTGCTGTACCTTACCTGGCTTCGGTCCTGGTCCCACGATGATCCGGTCCAGGAAGCGCGGCTGCTCCTTCTTTCAGTTCGGCCGCTCGATGGTCGCGCGGCCGCTCGGCTCCGCCTCCTTACCGGTGATTGGGCGCCAGCGCACACAGGCGACCAATCACCAGCGAGGAGGCGGAGCCGAACGGCCCCACGAAAATCAAGCTGCCGAACTGAAAGAAGGAGCAGCTCCTCTCCCCCACTGACACTAACGATGGGGCACTATTCCTCCTCCACACTGACACCAATGATGGGGCACTATTCCTCCTCCCCACTGATACCAATGATGGGGCACTATTCTCCCCACTGACACCAATGATGGGGCACTATTCCTCCTCCCCACTGATACCAATGATGGGGCACTATTCCTCCCACTGACACCAATGATGGGGCACTATTCCTCCTCCCCACTGACACCAATGATGGGGCACTATTCTCCCCACTGACACCAATGATGGGGCACTATTCCTCCCCCACTGACACCAATGATGGGGCACTATTCCTCCCCCACTGACACCAATGATGGGGCACTATTCCTCCCCCACTGACACCAATGATGGGGCACTATTCCTCCTCCCCACTGACACCAACGATGGGGCACTATTCCTCCCACTGACTAATGATGGGGCACTATTCCTCCCACTGATACCAATGATGGGGTGCTATTCCTCCCACTGACACCAATGATGGGGCACTATTCCTCCCACTGACACTAATGATGGGGCACTATTTCATCCACTGACACCAATGATGGGGCACTATTCCTCCCACTGACACTAATGATGGGACACACTGACACTACTGATGGGGCACCATTAGTGTCAGTAGGAGGAGTAGTGCCTCATCATTGGTATCAGTGGGAGGAATCATGCCCCATCATTGGTGTCAGTGGGAGGAATAGCACCCCATCATTGGAATACCATACTGAAATACCATACCATATTGAAATCAAATCTGATGTTTTTTCATTTTTATTTGGTGTGCGTTGGAAGAGGGGTAGTCTTATACGGCGAGTATAGCTCAAACCCTATATTTTAACAGGAAAAGTAGGGGGTCGTCTTATACGCCCAGTCGTCTTATACGCCGGCAAATACGGTATATTTAATGTGCCTTCATTTTGAAATATTATTATTCTCTTTGATGGCATATTCCCATGTCGGGACACATGCAGACTCCTCTGCTTCTCAAGAAAAACTTGAATACTGTTGTTACTACAGACTTCCTTGTTATCTTACCCTTGTAGAGGTGTGATGTAGAGATTAGCGCTCTGTATATTCAACCGAAAAAAGAAAATGTATGTGTGTGTATAGAGATACATGTATTTATTTATTTAATTATTTTTGTTCAACAGGGTTAAAAAGGAATTGGCGTTTTTATTACAATTTCTTTTATTTTTTTAATGTGATTTTTTGGATGATGAATGTTTTAAGGAGAAGTCAGTATATAAAATTAAGACACTGACTGAGGCTAGGTTCGCACTTATGTGGATTTCAGTGTCTTTCTGGGTTTGGCAGAAACACACTACAGTTCATTTAACATGATTTCCTATGGATCTAGTTCACATCTGTGCGTTTTTAGCCGCTACGGGGCCAGGGACTTTTTTCGCGTTTTGCGTGTAATAGACCTCATGGTTTCGATGCCTTTTTTTATGCATGATGCATTTTGCATTTTGTGCTTTGTGTGACTTAAGCAGTTTGTCTAGGAGCCGGCTGCCGCTGGTGTCCTTAACAACCAGTAAACAGTATGGTTGCCAGGGAATGGGCAGCCGCCACGTCTTTAACAGCCAATGAGTCATCAGCTGTTAGCGGGGTTCCCCGCTGACAGCTGAATATAAACAAAACAATTGCTGGCAATTAAAAAAAATCAGGAAAAAAAAACCCGGGGTGTTCCCCCTCAATCCATACCAGGCCATCAGATCTGGTATGGATTTTAAGGGGAACCTCATGCCAAAATAAAAAAAAGGTCAGGAAAAGGGGGGGTAAGCAAGCACCCCCCCGACCCATACCAGGCCACATGAGCTCAACATGGGGGGTGCTTTGGTGCATAGGAGCCCCCCTGCATACAACATTGTCCCCATGTTTATGAGGAAAAGGGCCTTTTCCCCACAACCCTGGGCTGTGGTTGTGGGGGTCTGCGGGGGGGGGTGATTTATTGGAATCTGCATCATATCATGACTCGACTACTGCAACTCCTTCCTCACTGGCCTGCCTCGCCGCTGGCTATCCCCGCTTCAGTCGATCCTGAATACGGCTGCCAGACTCATTCACCTTTCCAACCGCTCCATCTCCGCCACCCCCTCTGCCAATCCCTCCACTGGCTTCCGATTGCGCAACGGATCAAATTCAAAATCCTAACACTGACGTACAAAGCTGTCCACCATACTGCCCCGTACTACATCACTGACCTAATATCCAAGTACCGCCCAGCACGCACACTCAGCTTCTCACTAGACCTCCTTCTCTCTAGTTCCCTGGTCTCCTCCTCCCATGCCCGCCTCCAGGACTTCTCCAGGGTGTCACCCATCCTCTGGAACTCCCTGCCCCAATCCATCATATTATCACCTACTCTCCTCTCCTTTAGGCGCACCCTGAAAACCCATCTCTTCAGGGAAGCCTACCCCACCCCCTGCTAACCTGCCGACCTCCTCCACTCTTCCTACCACTCCATCCCCCACAGCTATCTCCTCCTGTGCCACCATCCCCTCCCTCCTAGATTGTAAGCTCGATCCCCTCATGTTTTGCATTGTATTGTTCTGTCACATGTTCTGTCCCCCTTTGTAATGTACAGCGCTGAGCGAACCATTTGCGCTTTATAAATACTGTATAATAATAATATTCTGGAATCCCCAATTAAAAAACCTCCAGATCCTAGGCCCCCCCGCAGGTGAATAAGTATGGAGTACATAGTACCCCTACTCATTCACAAAAAATGTGTAAAAAGAGAGCAAAAACACAACAAACGGTTTTTGACAAGTCCGTTATGAAAAGATTAAAATAAAAAAAAAACTGTCCAACGTCAATCATGATGAATGCTGCAGCGGACCCGAAGAACAAAAAAAGAGCTTAACACCCTACGAAGGCTCTTGCTGTCTGACAGTTTTGGTTTGTTGATATTCAACTGTCAGCGGGGAATCCCACTGACAGCTGATGACTCATCACTCATCTCTGTTTTTCTGGTTGCTAAGGACGCTGGCTTCCTAGCAACCAGCTAAAGTCACACAAAACACGAAATGCAAAGTGCATAAAAAATGCAATTAAAAAACGCATCAAAAAACGGGTGTGAAAACCCCCCACAAAATACCCCCCAAAAAGGCATCAACCACAATCTGCATAGATGTGAACCTAGCCTTAGTATAGCAGTGACTGTCGGAGAAGACCCATGCTGAACATTACAGTAATACTGTACCATTGTATGTGAAGGGATGGAGAAAAAGGGAAATGGTTTTGGGCTGAGTAGACTTTGTGGGAAAACATGGAAGTAAAGCTAATGAAATATCTGGACTGACTATAGTGATGGCATAACATGATCAGGACAATAGTCGCTGGTAGGTGGAATCAGGGTTAAGAAAATATATACGTTTCCATTTGTTGTATGGGCAATAGTATGGGTTGGGAGCTAGGAAATAAAATGTAAGAGGATAATTTATGTTAATATAGTACCCTCTAAGGAAGCTAGGGGAGCTAGAAAGGTTTTTTTCAGCTAGGAAGGCTGAATAGCAGTCTGGGCTGAGACAGAGGGTTATTTCAGGTCAGGGCTGAGATGCTCTGCAAATTGGTTCCTTGACACCTCCCCCTGCTGTATATATCGTGGAGAAGATTCTAGAAGCAGTGGGCAGGGGTGAGGAGGGGCTGGCCTGCACACTTAGGGGAGCCTGGCCAATCCCCAAGCAGGAAGCTTGGCGTGGGGCCAGGGCAGCCCTTAAATGTGAGAGAGCCTGCTCAGAAGCAAGAGAGTTTGGGTGGAAGATTAAGTGAGAGGCTGGAGAGCAGGACCCTGGGAGGGGGCCAGATGGGAAAGGGCTCACCTTCAGGCAGTGGCTCTGGAAAGGAGGAAAACTCAGGCCCGTCTTATATTAGGGAATATCATATATTTAAGGTTACAGGCACTGGATCCCTTGCCCAGGGATTCCTTTAGACAACTGGAAAGAAGAGTATCTGGCATCTGAAGTGGTACACCAGGAGATGCTGGCTAGCTCTCCAAGAAGACAATTGTTGCAGCTAAAGAGAATAGTACATAGTTCCAGGAAGATTGTCCTCAGTTGCAGTTCCTTTGGGCATACCAGACATCCCTTACCCCATCTAAGTTTGATTCCCCTTAAAAAAAAAACAACCAAGCTCAAGGACTAACTCCTGGATGAAAGTCTGTATAGAAGATGTGTGTTGCCTGGCTGTGCAGGACTATAGGAAGACCCAAAACTCTAGCCACACCTATGAGGGTAGTGCTACATAAAGTACTTCCTATTGGAAATATGGACTTCAAGGGATGTATACTGATGGTATTGAATGGAGGTATACCCTTACATATTCAAAGTTAAAATCAGCATGTACAAAAACACCATAAAAGTATTCCAATAACAAAGATGTTGTGCATGCGTGGTAACGTGTGTTTGCGTGGATTTTTCCTACGCATTTCGTCATATGTGACGTCATCTTAATCCTCTGACTACACTACAAACTATGTGCACCAGACGGCGCTACATCACTTTTTACATTTTACATTTAATTTACCTTTTTTGTTTATCTGTGGAGGTGCAGATTATTTATGCTTTCTCCTGGCTTTACTACTAGTGAAAGTGAAAGTGTACAGCTGCTGTGCTCAACACCAGTAGTGTCAAAATTAATAAATAATGACATCAAAACAGCACTTGCCCATATTAAAAAAAAATCAATATGTGAATAAAATATAATAATAATAATAATAATGTCCAATAAAAAAAAGTCCTGATAAATCTTATGTGCCGCCCATGTTCTTCTAAAAGATCGATATACAGTGGGGCAAAAAAGTATTTAGTCAGCCACCAATTGTGCAAGTTCTCCCACTTAATAAGATGAGAGAGGCCTGTAATTGTCATCATAGGTAGACCTCAACTATGAGAGACAAAATGAGAAACAAAATGCAGACAATCACATTGGCTGATTTAGAAAGAATTTATTTGCAAATTATGGTGGAAAATAAGTATTTGGTCACCTACAAACAAGCAAGATTTCTGGCTCTCACAGACCTGTACCTTCTTCTTTAAGAGGCTCCTCTGTCCTGCACTCATTACCTGTATCAATGGCACCTGTTTGAACTTGTTATCAGTATAAAAGACACCTGTCCACAACCTCAAACAGTAACACTCCAAACTCCACTATGGTGAAGACCAAAGAGCTGTCGAAGGACACCAGAAACAAAATTGTAGACCTGCACCAGGCTGGAAAGACTGAATCTGCAATAGGCAAGCAGCTTGGTGTGAACAAATCAACTGTGGGAGCAATAATTAGAAAATGGAAGACATACAAGACCACTGATAATCTCCCTCGATCTGGGGCTCCACGCAAGATCTCACCCCGTGGGGTCAAAATGATCACAAGAACGGTGAGCAAAAATCCCAGGACCACACGGGGGGGGGGGGGGGGGACCCAGAGAATGACCTGCAGAGAGCTGGGACCAACGTAACAAAGGCTACCATCAGTAACGCCGCCAGGGACTCAGATCCTGCAGTGCTAGACGTGTCCCCCTGCTTAAGCCAGTACATGTCTGGGCCCGTCTGAAGTTTGCTAGAGAGCATTTGGATGATCCAGAAGAGGATTGGGAGAATGTCATATGGTCAGATGAAACCAAAATAGAACTATTTGGTAGAAACACAACTCGTCGTGTTTGGAGGAGAGAGAATGCTAAGTTGCATCCAAAGAACACCATACCTACTGTGAAGC